TGCGCCACGCACTCACTCTAGCCTGGGCAACAAACGAGACTCTGTCTCCAAAAAAAAAGGAATTTTTGTTCATTGAGAAGAAAAATAACAAAAGAGTAAAAATTGCCCATAATCCCCAACAGCTGGAGTTTACTACTAAGAACAGCTTGAAGCGTTTCCTTCCAGTCTTTTTTCGGTACATAGATACAGACACCTAATTCTTTGGCTTTTTGTGTGTGTGTGTGTGTGTGTGTGTGTGTGTGTGTGTGTGTGTGTGTGTGTTTATTGTTATTATTATTAGTTTCGTGCAGTTGCAATGACATAGGATTCTGTTGGGAGTTCTCCACTGGCACCTTAATGTTGTGACATCCCCCCAAATGCGTCTCTCCTCATCTGTTCCTTCCCCCCAGTACACAGCATCAACTCAGCCTCAAACCTGCGCTCTGACCCTCTGTGCCTGGGAGGGTGCTGTCAGATTCTGCCTCCCATGCCCCGGCCTGCGCTGCCCCTCCTGTGGTCCCCAGGTCCAGCCCTGTTGAGGTAGGAGGTCAGAGGTCAAGAGCTAGGACTCTGTGACCAGAAGGCCTGGACCCAATCCCAAATCTGCCTTTCCCCTTCTGTGTGACCTTGGACAAGTCACTGCACCTCTCTGTGCCTAATTCATAATCTCTCATGTGAACGGTTTAAGGCCACACGTGTTTGGCATTCTGATATTAGAAAGGTGATACTGTATATAGCCTGTATTTTACAACATCCTAGGGGTCTTACACCCTTTATCAAACATGGGGGTTTCGAGAGTGAAATGTTTGAATAGTCACATGAGCAGGATCAATACAAGCTTTAAATAGCTACACGTGCATTCTGATCAGGTCTGGCCACCAAACGGGATTTGGTGCCAAAGATGGAAAATCTGGTTTCCAGGACCTTCTGAATTTTGGAATCGTGGGTATTGATAAGCACTTGTAATAAACAGCACCTGTCTCGTAGGGCAGTTTGGAGGATTAAACGAGTTATTACCCATAAAGCATTTAGAGCAGTGTCTGGCAGCAAAGAAGGGTTCGATGCATGTTAGCTCCTGGTGTTAGTGTTTTTAATCTATTTGTTTTATTTTCAGAAATATATACGCAATAAAATGCCAGCATTTTAAACGTAGAGTTGAGGGGGGGTCCTGACAGTTGCATGCACCCTAGAACCACCGCCCCAGCAGGGGAGATTTCCATCACCCCAGAAAGTTCTGTCATGCCCCCTCCCGGCCTGCCCCTCGTGGGCAGAACGCCTCGAGCGTGGTGCGGCCGGAATCCGTGCACGGGCTCCTGGTGTCCCGAGTCTTTTGCTCAGCACGAAGCCCGAGAGAGTCATCGGGTTGTGAGCGGCAGTGCTTGTTCCTTCTCAAGGCGAGTCACGGTCTTCCACGGTGGGGACGCACCTCGGCGTGTGTGTCTGTCCACCCATGTAGGACACTTGGGTGGTTTCCAGTTTGGGCTGTAATGAACAAAACTGCCGTGAGCAGCCGCGGCTAAGCCACTGCGTGGACATCTGCTTTTGTTCCTGCCCAGGAGACACCCACGAGGGAAGGGCCGGGTCGCATGGCACCTCCTGTCCTAACTTTGTAAGAAACCACCCCCCCACCCCGTTCTCCAGAGTGGTGGCACCGCCTCACCCCCCACCTGCGAAGCAGGAGCGATCCGTCGCCCCACCCCTCGCAGGGCGTGGTGGCTTCGTGGTTTCCGTCCTTGGTGTTCGCGTTACTGACCCCGTCTCCCCTCCTGCCCCCAGGTGATCCGGACGGACACGTTCAAGCACCTGCGGCACCTGGAGATCCTGCAGCTGAGCAAGAACCTGGTGCGCAAGATCGAGGTGGGCGCCTTCAACGGGCTGCCCAGCCTCAACACGCTGGAGCTGTTCGACAACCGGCTGACGACGGTGCCCACGCAGGCCTTCGAGTACCTGTCCAAGCTGCGGGAGCTCTGGCTGCGCAACAACCCCATCGAGAGCATCCCTTCGTACGCCTTCAACCGAGTGCCCTCGCTGCGGCGCCTCGACCTGGGCGAGCTCAAGCGGCTGGAGTACATCTCGGAGGCGGCCTTCGAGGGGCTGGTCAACCTGCGCTACCTCAACCTGGGCATGTGCAACCTCAAGGACATCCCCAACCTGACGGCCCTGGTGCGCCTGGAGGAGCTGGAGCTGTCGGGCAACCGGCTGGACCTGATCCGCCCGGGCTCCTTCCAGGGCCTGACCAGCCTGCGCAAGCTGTGGCTCATGCACGCCCAGGTGGCCACCATCGAGCGCAACGCCTTCGACGACCTCAAGTCGCTGGAGGAGCTCAACCTGTCCCACAACAACCTGATGTCGCTGCCCCACGACCTCTTCACGCCCCTGCACCGCCTCGAGCGGGTCCACCTCAACCACAACCCCTGGCACTGCAACTGCGACGTGCTCTGGCTCAGCTGGTGGCTCAAGGAGACCGTGCCCAGCAACACGACGTGCTGCGCCCGCTGCCACGCGCCCGCCGGCCTCAAGGGCCGCTACATCGGCGAGCTGGACCAGTCGCACTTCACCTGCTACGCGCCCGTCATCGTGGAGCCGCCCACGGACCTCAACGTCACCGAGGGCATGGCCGCCGAGCTCAAGTGCCGCACGGGCACCTCCATGACCTCGGTCAACTGGCTGACGCCCAACGGCACCCTCATGACCCACGGCTCCTACCGTGTGCGCATCTCTGTCCTGCATGATGGCACGCTCAACTTCACCAACGTCACCGTGCAGGACACGGGCCAGTACACGTGCATGGTGACGAACTCGGCCGGCAACACCACCGCCTCAGCCACGCTCAACGTCTCAGCCGTGGACCCCGTGGCGGCGGGGGGCTCTGGTGGCGGCGGGGGCAGCCCCGGGGGCAGCGGTGGCGTCGGAGGGGGCAGTGGTGGCTACACCTACTTCACCACGGTGACGGTGGAGACCCTGGAGACGCAGACTGGAGAGGAGGCCGCGCAGCCTCGGGGGACGGAGAAGGTCCCGCCGGGGCCCACGACCGACGGCGTCTGGGGTGGGGGCCGGCCCGGGGAGGCGGCGGCCGGCCCGGCCTCGTCATCCACCACGGCGCCCGCCCCACGCTCCTCGCGGCCCACGGAGAAGGCGTTCACGGTGCCCATCACGGACGTGACGGAGAACGCCCTCAAGGACCTGGACGACGTCATGAAGACCACCAAGATCATCATCGGCTGCTTCGTGGCCATCACGTTCATGGCCGCCGTGATGCTCGTGGCCTTCTACAAGCTGCGCAAGCAGCACCAGCTCCACAAGCACCACGGGCCCACGCGCACCGTGGAGATCATCAACGTGGAGGACGAGCTGCCCGCCGCCTCCGCCGTGTCCGTGGCCGCCGCGGCCGCCGCGGCCGGTGGGGGCGGCGTCGGTGGGGACAGCCACCTAGCCCTGCCCGCCCTGGAGCGCGACCACCTCAACCACCACCACTACGTGGCAGCCGCCTTCAAGGCGCACTACAGCAGCAACCCCAGCGGCGGGGGCTGCGGGGGCAAGGGCCCGCCCGGCCTCAACTCCATCCACGAACCTCTGCTCTTCAAGAGCGGCTCCAAGGAGAACGTGCAAGAGACGCAGATCTGAGGCCGGCGGGGACGGGTGGGGGTTGGCGAGGGGCTCCGAGACCCGCCACGCCAGAGCCCACCGGGGCACGCCCGACTGGGACCCCTCCCCACTGCCCAGCCCACCCCGGGACCAAACGGGGAAGGTGGGGAAAGGCGGCGTCCAGCCCCACCCGGGGCTCAGACCCCCGCCAGGACAGGGCGGGGCTCCAGGAGTGGAGAGTCCGCGGTTCTAGCCTCGCCCCCACCCATCCTGGTGACGGGAGGGGACCCGGGATTCAGGAGAAGTGGCCCCAGCCCTCCACATTTCCTCCTCGCTCTCCCGACCAACCAAGCGTCCCGCCCAACACCTTCCAGGGGAGAGAGGAGCTTTTTTGAGGGGTACCCTTTCCCCTCACCCCACCACCCTCCTTTTACGGTTCATTTTTTGCAGTTTGACGCCTGTCCCTCCCTCCCACTCCTCCAGCCCCGAAACCGAAGAGACACGTGTCGCCCACTCCCAGCCTGTCCCCGCTGGGGGGCAGCCTGACCGCCCGCCCCCCCGCCCCACGGACTCTTTTGATACCACTGAAGGGAGGTTTGCGTCAACGACTACCTGCTCTGTAATTACTTTAAAAAAAAAACACGGAAAAAGTAAAAAAAATATTTTTTTTGGTCATGAAAGCATGGAGGAGAGAGAACGAAGTGAATGTGGGTGGGAGGCGACAGGAGAGGCTGGAAACAGGCTTCCCAGGCCCCGTCACGGGAGTCACCTCTGGGGCGGTCCTAGGCCCTGGGCCTTCACCCTGGACACCCCAGAGAGGGGTCTGCACGGGGACACCCCGCCTCGCCTGCTCCCTGTATTAGCTCCCTCGGGCGGGGCCACAGCCGGTGCCCGGTGGGGGCTTAGAGCAACAGGGACCCCCTCTGACAGTTCTGGAGGTGGCAAGTCCAAGATCAAGGTGCCAGCGTGGCCCCGCCCCCTCTGAAGCCTGGACAGAGGCCCCTTCCTTGCCTCTTCCGGCTGCTGGTGGCCCCAGACGGCTCTGGCTTGTGGCAGCCTGTCCCTGGTCTTCCCAGGGCCCGTGCCCTGTGTCCCCACGCCTCTTCCCTGTGTGTGTGCCCGCCCGTGTCCAGCTTCCCCTCTCGCAAGGCCCCGGTCACTCGGGACCAGGAGACGCCCCCACCCAGCATAACCTCAACTCGGTCCTCGCAAATGCCCACTCTCAGGCGCTGGAGGCCAGGACTTCCACAAAGCTCTTTCTGGGTGGCACAGTTCAGCCCACAACAGGGCCCACACCAGTGTCCGTCTCCACGGCACGCCCACTCGGGGCTGCTCCGGGAGGCCCGATGCGGGTGGGCTGAGGAGGAGGCTGGAGCCGCAGCAGCCTGGGCCCGCGGGGCTGGGGCGGCACTTCCGGCTTGTTTAATGCTCGCCCAGGAGGGACGGTGGGGTCCAGCCTGGAAGGAGGGGTGCCACAGTGCCACCCGGGAGGACAGGGACAGAGAGAGCCTGGGGAGGCGCCGGCAGGAGCCAGCAAGCAGGCCGGACAGCGTGATGTCTCTAGGGGGTCGAGGTGCCTGAGTTTCAGCCTCCAGAGGGCTGGCGCGGGCCAGGGCTGCCATCTCGTGCAGGCTGGGGACACTGGGTGACGGAAGCAGCGGGAGTGGTTATGGTGCCTTCCTGCACTGAGGAGGGGTGGCCCAGGCAGACAGCACCGAGGACACACAGGCCCGGGCTGGGGCAGACCAGGCTCCACGCCCCTGCTCCCTCACGGACACAGCAGCTCTGGGCACTGTGGGGACACTCCAGCCCCCAAAGAGTCGACAACAGTCAAAGGGAGGGGGGAAGGCAGCGAGCCCTGCTCCCCCGCCATGAGTGGCTGATAGGGGTCCGTGTGCCTGTCAGCATCTTCTCTCTCCCCCACCCGCTCCTGGCTCTTGAAGCAAATGCCTCCCTTATCAGCAGTGGCAGCCTCCGGTGGCCACCGTGTCTGGGGTCTGGCCCTCTATCTCGGTCCATCCCGTCTAGCCCGGTGCCACCCCCCCACACATGCTCCCTTTTCATGCTCTTTCTCTCCAGTCTCTTCCAGTGCCGATCCTGGTTGCCATGGTAACACTGCAGCGGGTACCAGGTGGTGGCTGGGGGCAGGGAGCTGGCACTGCAGCAGCCTCTGCCATTTCCGATGCCAGGCACCGCCAGGCGCAGTGGCTGAGACTCGTTCCGGGGGCACTCGGACTCCCCAGGCCTCGAGGCTACTCTTTGGCTGATGCAAGTTGGGGAGAAGGAAGAAAGGACATGGGAGTGAGAACACAACATGGGGGAGGGGGGACGAGTGGCATCATGGCCGAGGGGGAGGAGAGGTGGGAAGTCAAGGTGAACTGAAGGTTCAGGGACAGGGGTGGGGGCGGCAGGTTCCGGTTGAAGGCTGAGGGATGTGAGAAGGGGACCCCGTCTATGGGGCCAGGGGAGACTGGACCCACGGAGGCGAGGGGACAGCTAAGATAAGCCAAACTCAAGCATCTGTTTCCTTCCGGGAGAGAAGGGGGCATGAGCAGGCAGAAACCTCCTTCAGACCTTGGCCACCTGAGGACAAAAATGGGGGGCAGGGAGGACCCGGGAGCAAGGGGACAGAGCCCAGAGTCCCTGTCACCATCTCCTCTTCCCACCCCAAGCAGGATGTAGTTTCCATGACAACCTGGCCGGCCAGAAAGGGGGGCAGGGGACTGCAGAGGAAATTTTCCACATCAGCGGGAAGGGAGGAGGGTGTGTCGCAGAGAAAGGAACAGCCCTAGGGAAAGCAGGGGTTAGGGGGAATGCAGGGTCCCTGGAACCCCAAATCACCACGCTTGCTGCCCCCAGCCCTGGCAAACGTGGAGAGAATGCAGAAAAGGATCTTCACCCGCCTCCATCCCCGCAAACCCACCCCCACATCTCTGGGCCTCTGGGGAAAGGGGGAGGTTGAGCTCAAGGGTCAAATGTCCAAAGAGCAGTGACTGCCCAGGCCTCGTGCAGGGGACAGCGAGCAGCCAAGGGAGCTCCGGCCGCAGCCACCAACCAGACTCAGGGGCATGGCCCTCGACAGGGTCCCACGGAGGGTGGGGGTGGTAGGCTACGGCCGCCTTGGTGAGTCCCTGGCCATCTTGGGCCTCCTTCCCCAGGCCCCGTCCTAAAGCCCCCCAAACCCCTCTGCCCTCCACAAGCACACCTTTCATCTGTCTTTATCTGCGCCCCTGGCTGTGTCTCTGGCTCTGCTTACCGGACCCCGGGTCTCCGCCCCCCTCTCTCTGGGTCTCTAGCCCCCTCCTTTCCCTCTCCCCAGGACAGTCCCTCGTCTCCCACCTGCTAGCTCAGGGACCCGAACTGGGCCTAGAACTTGTTTTTGTCTGGAATCGGGATCCAGGACGAATGGCAGGGAGCGTGCCCCCCTCCCTACAGCTCCACAACCTTGCTGCCCTTGGAGAAAGGTCAGTGACTTTGCCATAGGAGAGTGGGGCTCCCTGAAGCTCCCGTTCTGGCCTCCCTTAGCTGCTGTGTGATCTCAGGCAAGTCCCTCACCCTCTCTGGGCCTTAGTTCACACAAACGTGAAATGGGAGAAGCCCATTCATCTTATTTCCCCTCCCAGGCCAGGGTGAAGACTGGCAGGCCTCCACAGACTCTGAGAGAACCTTGGGGGGGAGAGCTAATACCTCTCCAAGGACCTCCCCCATCTCTCTCCTCTCCCAGGCACCCCGATCTTGTGGTAGAAGTGGCCCATCCCAAAATAATCCATGAATTTGGGGCACAAATCCTGCACCATGCCAATCTCCTGGTAAGCCCCACCCCAAGCCATATCACAGGCCCTACACCTTCTGTCATGACCCCATCACCCACCCTAAAGTGGTGATCCCTCTCCACCTTTGTCCACCCCAGGTGGGGTCCCCCTCAGCCCTAGCTGACCAGACCACAGAGCAGCAGCTCCTGGAGGCCTCGCACCACTGGGACCACGCCGTGTTTGTGGCCCGAGGGGCCTTGTGGGGCACTGAGGACATCACCAGGTTGGATGCAGCCGGGGGCCTCCAGGTGAGGGTGTGCTGGGCTCCTCAGGAACCTGGGGGATCCTGCAAAAACCCCGTTGCCCCTGACCCTGGCTCTTGCTTCCAGAGCCTTCGTGTCACCATGGCCACACACCCCGATGGCTTCCGGCTGGAGGGACCCCTGGCTGCAGCCCACAGCACTGGGCCTCGCACTGTGCTCTATGAAGGCCCTGTCCGTGGGCTCTGCCCCTTTGCCCCCCGAAACTCCAACACCATGGCAGCCGCTGCCCTGGCTGCCCGCAGCCTAGGCTTTGACCGAGTGATTGGGGTGCTTGTGGCCGATCGCAGGTGAGCAGAGCCGAGCAGGGAGGTGGGCTGGGTCCAGGCTAACCAGGCTGACTGCCCCTGCTTGCCCCAGCCTCACAGACATGCACGTGGTGGATGTGGAGCTGGGAGGACCCCCAGGCCCCACTGGCCGAAGCTTTGCTGTGCACACCCACAGAGAGAACCCTGCCGAGCCAGGCGCCGTCACGGGGTCCGCCACTGTCACAGCCTTCTGGCGCAGCCTCCTGAGTGCGGCCAGGCCCCTCCCCAGTGCTAGTGGCCCCTCTCCCCCAGCCCTGGGCTCTTGTGCTCTGCAGAGCTTGGGATCTTGGGCTCTGTCTGCAGTTCTGATTCTGTCTTTGTTGATCTTTATTTCTGAATCACCTTAACCTGTTTACTCCACGAATTCGAATCTTTGTATTGTCTATGTCTCTATTTCTGTCCATGTCCCCGCTCTCTCTGTGCCCCCTCTCTCTGGGCCTCTACCTCTGCATGTGTGTTTGTCTGTCTGTCCACCCCTAGTCTATGTCTTTATCTCTCTGGGTCTCTGTCTCTCTCTCTGGGTCTCTGTCTCTAGGTTTTCCTCCATCCCCACCTTGACCTGTCCCTCCCTCCCATCACTATCTCTCCCTCTCCCACTGTCTCAGTCTCTCTTCCCCGTCTCTCCCTCGCAGGCTGCTGCCAGCTCCCCTCCAGGCCTGGGATCCACCTCTGCTGAGAAGCCTCCCGCCTGAGACGACGTCCTCATCCGATTTACCTTCCCACCACCACCGTCCCACTCCTGTCCTGGCCTCACTTTCCCGGGATCTCCCTCCTGTCTCAGTAAAGATCACAGATTCTTCGCCCTGCACCGTCTGGCGTCTCTAGTCCCTTGTTTCCCTCCTGTGACGTCACGCCGCGTCTGCACTTAGTACATGACGCCATCTCAGGGGACGAGCACACACGGGAGCAAATTATCAGGAAGCTATCGCGAGAGCCTACCCACTACATTTCCCAGAATCCTCTGAGCAGCAGTGGGCGTGTAGTATGCGAGGGGGCGGGCCTCTGGGGCATATTTCCGGGCTTTGCAGCGAGGACCGACGGAAGTTGTAGTCCTACGTTTTCTATGGGCGACAGCGGACTTCCGGGCTACGAGGCCCGCTTGTTCCGTGTGGGGCAAGCGACCTGCGGGGGCCCCCGGGAGTCGTAGTCCGGCACGCGGGGACCGCCGGGAGCTGTAGTCCGCCCCGCCTGCCCAGTCAGCGCGGTGCTGCCCGCCCCGCACTCGGAGCCAGAGCCGACGCCCAGGGGGATGCGGAAGCCCCTGGCTCGGGGGAGCGGAGAGGCAGGCGGGGTGAGGGGCGTTGCCTGGCGAAGGGCGAGCGCTGTGGCTGGGGTACGGGTCTCGGGGAAAGGGCTCTCTTACTTGGTGTCGGGGGAGGGGGCCTAGTTGCCAGGTGATAGGAAGAGGGGATCCTGTTGCCTAGTGACTGGAGAGGGGGTCCTGTTGCCAGGTGACAAGAGGAGAGAACCTTGCTGTTTAATGGCAGGAGAAGGGGAGTCTTCTGTTGCTAGGAGACCAGAAGAGACCCTGTTACCTAGAGACAGAAGAGTATTGTTTTTGCTAGGTAATCAGAAGAGAGACTTTGTTACCTAGTGGGTTGGGGTCCTCTGTTGCTCAGTAACCAGAGAGGGATCCTAGGGACAGGGGAGGAGGGTTCCTCTGTTTCTAGGTGACCATAATAGGTACCCTTTTACTTAGAGATGTGGAGGGGGGGTTCTCTGTTGCTAGGTGAGCAGAAGAGAGAGCGTTTTACCTAGGAATAGGGAATGACGGTACCTCTGTTGCCAGGAGACAGCACAGGAAATAGGATCAGGGACCCAGTGTCCTCCCAGACTTCTCCGAGCCCCCACCTCAATGGCATTGCCCCAAGGGGCCTGCTGGGAGGTTGGGCCTCAAGATCCTGGGCCCCTGAGTACCTTCTCCCCCTCCCAACCCCCAGCAGGAGCCAAGGACGGCATGTCCCAGGCCCCAGGAGCACAGCCGAGCCAGCCCTCTGTGTACCACGAACGGCAACGCCTGGAGCTGTGTGCCGTCCACGCCCTCAACAACGTTCTGCAGCAGCAGCTCTTTAGCCAGGAGGCTGCCGATGAGATCTGCAAGAGGTTACTGTCACCCACCTTACCTCCTGGAGCAGCAGGGCTCCGAGAGGCAGAGCAACCCACCTGGGTCTCACAGCAGAGCCTGGGGCTTCTTCTGCCCGCTCCCTGCCTGAGCCGGACCCTGGGGCTCAGACTGACATGTTGCCCCCTCTATCTGCCTATCCCAGCCAAGGCCTCCCTTTCTTATCTGGGCCTTGTCACAGCCTTCCAGCTGCTGGTGTTTCTCCTCCAGAGCGTCCTGCACAGGGCCTGAGAGCCAATCCTGTCCCGTCCCCAGCCCCTCCTCCCGATATCATGGCCCGGCAAGCCTGGCTCCCTCCGCCTCTGCAGCTCTCACTGCTCTGCTCACACCAGACCTCTCTCTAGTCCCCGAATGGGCCCTGCTGTGAGGCCTCTGGGCATTTGCACAGGCTCTTCTTTCATCTGGCATGGTGTGCTCCTCTTGGCAGCCTGGAATGTGCCTCCTCACTATTCCAGATTTCAAACATCTCTTCTTTATACTCTTTGCCTCACTCCCTCTTCTCTGGCTGCACAGCCCTGGCCCCAGCCCAGGCCCAATCCTCCCCTGCCTGGACTCCCCACCTCGCCTTCTGCGCCCTGCCAGTCAGTGGCCCTCGAGGGAGGGATCGTCCCACACCCAGACATAACCCTAACTCCCTCCCCCGGCTCCCAGCCTCCTCAGACAGAGGCCAGCCCCTCAGAGTGATCAATATGGGATTTATTCATCTCTGTCACTCACAACAAGGATCTGGCAACTCTCACGCCAAGGCTGTGCTGGAGGCCCAGAGACAGTCAGATATGAGCCCTGTCCTTGGGAAGGCGAGGGAAACACACACACAGAAAAATAACACACACTCTTCCCTCCCCTGCCCCACTCTGCCAACCAAAGGCCCAGGTGGGACGGAGGTACAGTTGCTCAAGGAGGCAGGGCCCAGAGAGGCAAGTGGTGACAGGTGGGCCTCCTGGGCTGGGGGAAGAGTTGGAGGAAAGGCTGGGAGGCACAGGGGACATGGCCGGGGGCAAGTGGCCAGAAAGGGAGGGGCTGAGGCTCAGAGGCCAGCAGGGCCTTGTGGGGCTCTGTCCGGGGGAGTGATGGGGTGCCAGGGAGGGACAAGGGGAGCAGGGTGTTAAGACAGGGTTGGTCATCATTGAGTGGCTCAGTGCACAGGGGAGCCAGGGAGGGCCCCAGACCCAGCCTGGGGCTCTGGAGACCCCTCCCAGGGCAAATGACATCTGAGGTGGGTCTTGAATGACAGAGGAAGGGATTGAGCATGACGAGAAAGACCAAGGGACAGGGACTTTGTCTAGGGGCACTGGGGAGCTGTGGCGGGGTTGAGGGGACAGCTCCAGGCTGAGGTGGGGGAATAGGGTGGAGGGGGAGGCTTGGGGAGGGTCCAAGTGCAAGAAGATGAAGCCTGAGCTGGGGCCTTGGGGACAGGGTCAGAGTCAGGGCAGGAGCGACAGGACTTGGGCTGATGAGTTACGGGTTGAAGAGGGAAGAGTCAAAGCCTGGGGTAACTGGTGGACCCTGGCACCCCCTGCTTTGTGGGAAGGGCAAGGCCTTTCCAAGCATCCCCAACTCAGTCTCTGGCCACCCCCCTCCAGGTTGGCTCCAGACTCCCGGCTGAACCCCCATCGCAGCCTCCTGGGCACCGGCAACTATGACGTCAATGTGATCATGGCCGCCCTGCAGGGGCTGGGCCTGGCCGCCGTGTGGTGGGACAGGAGGAGGTAGGCCCCAGAGTGCCAGGTCACATGCTGGGCTGGGCATGGGGGGTGCAGGGCACCGGGGAGGGTGGGGACAGGAGGAGGTCTACATGGGTGGGTGGAGGCTGGCAGCCTGATGGCCAGTATGTGGGTGAGCAGGTGACCACCTGGGATGGGGCGCGATGACGGATGGAGGTTGGTAGCTGGACCAATGAGAGGACAGCCAGTGGGGCAGTTGGCCACGTTGGGGGAGGGGGTGTGAGTGGCGGGTGGTCAAGTGGTTCAACGATGGACATTTGGTGGGCAGGGGAGAGCAAACGTTAGGGCCTGCTGGATGGATGGAGAGAAGTTGTGACAGGTGGCAGTGGGTAAGGGCTGGACAGATGGGGGAGCGGGGAGGAGGCAGTGGTGGCGGGCGGGCGGCTGGCTGGCGGGGGTGGGGTGGTGTTTGGGTGAACAGTCAGTGGGCAGGGGCTGGTGGCGGTTGTGAGGTGGCTGGCCAGGGTGGGGGGTGTGTAAGGTATGGTCGGTGGTGAGCTGTGAATCGTAGGCGGTGCGGGGAGGTTGGGGGGCCAGCTGGGTAATGGGGGGCCGCAGCTGGGTGAAGAGCAGTTAAGGCATTGGGCAGGGGCTGGATAGACGGGCTGATGGTGGCAGTGAGGGGCGATGGGGTCTTGTGGGTGAACGGAAGGGAAGCGGGGACAGGGGGCGCTGGCTAAGGAGTGTCCTTGGTGGGGCTCAGCCTGGGCCCCACACACTCCAGAACACTCTGGGAGGAGCAGTCCCCAACCACGGCCCGACCCTCACTCACCCCTGCCCTCTCGCCACAGGCCCCTGTCCCAGCTGGCCCTGCCCCAGGTGCTGGGGCTGATCCTGAACCTGCCCTCACCCGTGTCGCTGGGGCTGCTGTCCCTGCCACTGCGCCGGCGGCACTGGGTGGCTCTGCGCCAGGTGGACGGCGTCTACTACAACCTGGACTCCAAGCTGCGGGCGCCCGAGGCCCTGGGGGACGAGGACGGCGTCAGGTGAGCCAGGCAGAGGCTGCTCCGAGGCCGCGGCTCGCAGGAGCTCCACTCCCAGAAGGCAGCAGCAAGGCTGGCCCGGCCTCAGTGTCCCCGTCTCTCCTGCCCAGGGCCTTCCTGGCGGCTGCGCTGGCCCAGGGCCTGTGTGAGGTGCTGGCCCGGCCTCAGTGTCCCCGTCTCTCCTGCCCAGGGCCTTCCTGGCGGCTGCGCTGGCCCAGGGCCTGTGTGAGGTGCTGCTGGTGGTGACCAAGGAGGTGGAGGAGAAGGGCTGCTGGCTGCGGACAGACTGACCCCACGGCTGACGGTCGCCACTGCCCAGTCGGGCTCCGAGTGCCAGGGAAGGGGGCTGCGCTTCATGGACCCTGAGGGGCCCCGGCCCCCCCACGCCCCCGCCCCCAGTGCCGCTGCTGCCTCAATAAATCTGATTTGCTCGGGCCTGGCCTGGTGTGACTGACCCAGCGCGGGGCCCTTTGGTTCAGAGCCCAGAGCCAGCCCGCCCTGGCGCCGATCCCTGCTCCCTGCCACCTCTGGCCAGTCACTCACCACTCCAGGCCTCAGTTTCCTCATCTGGGCATAGGAGAAAACAGCACAAGCCCTGCCCATGTGAGGCCCATGTTCTGCGGCAGGAGAGAGACCAGGACAAACCAACTGGCACGACTGGTGTGTCGTTCAGTGGGACAAGCACTAAGCAGGCGGCAGGGGCTTACTTCTTGACTCTGTTCGTCTCCATTGATTGGTAGGTGGCAGAACAGTGGCCCCAGAGATGCCCCTGTCCCCATCCCCAGAGCCCGTGAATGCGTTAGGTCACTCGGCCAAGGGGAAGTGAAGTCGCAGGTGGAACTGAGGCTGCCAGTCAGCTGCCCTTGAGACAGGCCGCTGTCCTGGATCCCCTGGGGGGAGGGGGAGTTCCAGTGTCATCACAAGGGTCCTTAAGTTGGAAGGCAGAGGCAGCCCTGGAGCCCTTCATGGACTTAGAGAATAAATGTGGGTTTGAACCCACAGAGCTTGCGGCAATGAGTTACAGCAGCCAACATCGATGAACGCAGGGTTGTTGCAAGTGACTCGGGGTGCTGGCCCCTCGGGGAAGGTGTCCTTTCAACAGAGATTGAAGGTGACAGGGCCACGGGGAGGCACAGCACAGCCCCGCAGGGGAGGCAGGTTATGGGGGGACCAGGGGCTGCTGGCACAGGGCCTACAGGGCCACCGAGGTCCACAGTGAGGACTTGGCTTTGACTCTGGCTGGGCCAGAGCCCTCAGGGGTTGTGAGCAGAGGAGGGGACCTCAACTAAATGTCTTCACTGCACATTCGCACGGTCTCACTCTTGGGCCTCCTGCTGTGTCCCTGGTCCCTCTCCCCATCCAAGTCCCTCCTCTGGGCCTGGCTGGTGCTGAGGGATGCCCGGGGCTGGGGCTGCACTCCCGTCCCGGGGTCCTGTGAGGCACTGCAGGCCCAGAAGATGGTGAAGGTGCCCAGAGGCAGGCAGGTCATGTAAAATGGCCCAGGGACAAGACTGGCCATGGAAGGCTGAGGAGGGCTGTCCCGAAGGCTGGCGGGTGGGCAGTGTTTTCCAGGACTGGAAATCGCTCTGTGTGAGACCTGGAACGTTCTGGGTGGTTACTTGCGGAGGTGAGGAGAGATGAGGGTGGGTCCTGGCTAGAACCCACCCAGGCAGGACACCCGGGGGCAGGCCAGCTCAGGGTGCAGAAAGACCCCTCTGGGGCTGTGGAGACAGACAGGGTGGAGACCAGAGGAGGCTAGGAGGACAGTCCAGAGCGGAGAGGAGGAGACTTGAGCCAGATCCTGAGTGACTTGAGCCAGTGACAGAGAGCTGGGAGGACAGCCTGAGCCTGGGGCCCTGGGGCGGGGAGGGGAGGGAGTGAAGAGGGTGCCCAGGGTCTGACGGAACCTGGGGGCCCCCGTTAGGTGTGGGGCAGAAGTGGGGGACTTGGTGGCACAGGAAGCCAGGGATGTGGGAGGGTAGGAAGGTCCTGGCTTGGGGACACAGCCCTGGGTGGGATCGGCTCCAGCAGAGTTCGCCCTAGGACCAGAGGAGCGAGGGACACCCTGGCGCCCGAAGCAGGGCGGGGAGCCACCACAGGACAGGACGCTCTCGTAAAAGCCCTGGTGATGCAGGGACCGGGGCGTGGCGGGTTCTGGTTTGCCAGTTTCCCCAGAGGTCAAAGGGCAGGTTGTAAAGTGAAAAGCCAAACAGCACACGAGGGGAAAACTGCTGGGGTGCGCGGACACCCCAACTCGGAGCGGCCCCACCCAGCCCTACCCAGGCCCCCGAATCTCCTTCCCGCCCAGTGTCCTCCCTCTGGGCCTCTCGTCCTGCCCTCTGTCCGCACTCGGTCTCCTTCCGTCTGCATCTCACTGTCTCTCTTGCTGGGTCCCTATCTCTGCCTTCCCGTCTCTCTGTCTCCCACTATCTCTGTCTGTCTCGAGAAGCCTCTGACTCCCCAGCTCCTTTTATCTCTCTAAGCGTCTCTGCTCAACTGTCTCTTGTCCCCTATCTCTCTGTGTCTCTCACCTCCCCGCCCTGTGCCTGTCGCCTGTCCCATTGTCCCAGACAGCCTGGCGGGTCTCCCTGAGTGTTTCCATTCTTGGCCTGAGTGGCAGGCGGGGCTGTGGCCTCCCCAGGTGCGTCGGCTGTGGCCAAATAAGGTCTGGGTGAGGAGCACGGGGAGGGGGGCACGGATTGAGCACTTACTGTTTGCCCTTTATAGTGCACAAGACCCCATGCATCCTCAGTGGCCCCCTCCCCGCCTGCGGCCCTCACCTCTCAGAGGGGCTCCTTGGCACTCAGAGGGCTGCCCCTTGCCTTGGGGTGCCAGGCAGGCCCGTCCCAGAGCTGGCAGGACTCCTGGGGGTCCCCAGTGGCCTGTTGGGGGCACCCCACGCAGACTCCCAGGGGCCTCTCAGCACAGCCAGGCTGCGGGAGGGGAGGGGAGGGGAGGGGCTGTGGTCACGTGGCAGGTGCTGGGCAGGTGGGGGGTGACAGCTGTCCCCACACACCCCCATCCCTGGTGCTGACAGCTGAGGCCCGATTTAGCGCACAAAGCCCGGGTCTGGCCACATAAGGCAATGAGGGGAACAGTCCCGTCCCCAGGGCACCCCTTAAATTGTGCGGTTGGGCCCAGGGGGCGGCCGCCGCGGATGCCAGGTGAGAGGGGCCGCTCCTTCCTCGATGTCCCCACAGTGGCTGTGGCCGTACCTCTGTCTCAGGCCCTTCCCTTTCCCTCTGTCTCTCTCCCCTGTGCTGTCTCTCTCTCTCTGTGTGTCTCTCTCTCTGTCTCTCTCTCTCTCTGTCTCTCTCTCTGTCTCTCTCTCTCTGTCTCTCTCTGTCTCTCTGTCTGTCTGTCTGTCTCTCTCTCTCTCTGTCTAGTGGGGGAGGGGTGGGAGGACAGACCCAAGAGGAAACTCCCTATTTCTGAGCCTCTGTCCTTTGTGTCTCTTTCTCTCCCTCTCCTCCTCCTCCACCCGTCTCTGTTCCTCTCTGTCTCTTTCTCCCTCTTTCCATCTCTGTCTCTCCCTGACTCTCTCTTTCCCTGTTTCTCTGTCTCTGTCATCTCTCTGCCCCCCTCTCTCTCTGTGTCTCTGTCTCCCCACCCCAATTGCCTCCCTGTCTCTCAGTCCCTCTCGGACTCTCTCTGCCCTCCCTCCCCGTGTCTCCCCGCTTTCTCTTTCCAGTCTCTGCCGTGTCTCCCTCGCTGTCTCTGTCTGTCTCTCGACTCCCCCTCTCTCCGCCGTCGGGACGAAGCCCTGCCCGGCCTGTGCCCGCCCCGCCGCGCTGAATAAAGCTGTTCTGTTCTCACCTCTCCCTCCTGAGCCTCCTTCTTTCCTTCCTCACTCCTCTGCCTCTCAGCTGTTGCCCCCAGCCCGTCCTGGGGCGGGAGGGGTGACCCCGGGGTGGATGGGGACGGGACCCCGGGGTGGGGGGGCCTCCCTTCCAGTCTCAGCAAGACACAGGCCCAGAGACGCGGGAGGGACAGAGAGACAGGTGCGGAGCAAGAACCAGGGATGGGGACAGAGAGAGAGAGGACCTGAGCAAGGGAGGCCGAGAGGGACAAAGACGAGGTGGGGCCACAAACACGGAGACAGGAGAGGACAGCGGGTCACAGAGACACGGACAGTGAGAGACTCAGAGAGCCCGGGCAGCGCCGCCCACCCCCGCCCCCACAGGGGACAAGGGCCAGGCCAGGCTGTGCAGGCCCAGGACAAGGAGCCCTTGTCGCAATCCAGGGGCAGCTGGGGACGGCCAGGGGGAGGGGCCGTGGGGGAGGGGCCAGGAGGCCTGGCCCGAAGTCCCCCCCCAGACTCCCCCGCTTCTGGCCTCCCCTCCCGGTCTCTGCCTGCTCCAGCCTACTTTCTGCTCTGCCAGGGGAAGCGGACAAGCATTTATAGAGCACTTGCTGTATGCACCTGAAATGTCTCTCTTCACCTCTCTTCATACCCTTCCACCTTGCCTGTCCCTTCCTCTGTGCCCTCTGCTGGTTCTTCCTGTGCTTCCGGCTCCTTCCGTGGAGGAAATGGGCATTTATTAAGTACCTAATGTTTGGCAGGCAATTTCCATTCACTGTCTCTGTGCCTTCTACCCTTGTTGCTTTCCTGTCCCTTCCACCCTGGTTTCTTTTTCCTTCTGATTTGCCTTGTCTCTCTTGGGAAGGACATGGGCATCTATTGAGCACCTGCTGTGTGCCATCAGATTTACAAACACTGTCTCCAGTCTTACTACACTCCCACCCCCACAATTTCCTTTCTTTCCTCTCTGCCAGTTCCTTCTCCTTTCTGACCACCTGCTGTCTCCTAGAGGAGGGAACGGGCATATTTTGAGCACCTACTGTGTTCCAGGCACTTTCCTTACCTTCTGTCCTCTCCTCACACCCTATTCCTCCCCTGCCCCTCTGTCCTCTCCTTGTCTTTCTGGGCTCTCTGCCCTCTTCCCAGGGAAGGAACGCATTGAGCACTTCTGGTATGCCAAGCGACCCTGTCTTTCTCTCCTCTTGCCCTCCAGTCTGCGCCGCCCTGTGGTTGCTGCTGGCCTCTGCTTCCGCTCCCTGCCAGGGACGGAAAGGGGCATTTATTGAGCGCCTATTGTGTGTCAGTTCTCACCCACCCCGCTTTGCTTCTTTCTGTCCCCTCATCCCTGATTTGTCCTTTCTGTTCCACCTGCTCTTTCATGGGGAAGAAAACAAGCAATTATACAGCATCTACTGTATGCTGGGCAATTAACATCCCACCTCACCTCCCCTTGCCTCTTTCTCTCTGCCCCTCTTGCTCTGCCAGCTTGTCCCTCCCTCTGTCCTCTGGGTCCTCTTCTGGGGAAGGACACAGGCACGTGCCGGGCACCACACGGCCCACAGTTTGCCTGCCTGGCCCTCCCTGTGTCCCTCTCCCCTGCCAGACTGTGGCATTGTCGCCCCCTCCCTCTGCTCCTCCAGCCCTGTGGAGACCTCCTCCGCCAGCACCTTCTTTCCTTTGGCTGCCGGCTCTGTGCCTCTGTTTGACTCTTGTTCTCTCCCTCAGAGGACAACAGTGTGCACTTACTGAATACCTCCTGTGTGCCCACTGCCTCGTCCCCACACCTGTTCCCGCTTTCTTCTCCCTGGCTCCTCTCCTCCAGCTTCACGCCCTCCTCTTTGCCCTGCCAGCTCTTTCCTGGGGGAGGAAACAGGCATGTATTGAGCGCCTGCTGTGTGCTGCTGCTTTCATATGCCCTGTCTGCACGCCTCACATGCCTGTCCTCCCTTCTCTCTTCCTCTCTGCTTGCTTCCTTTCTTTTGGCTGTTGTGCTGGCTGCCAGGGAGAAGAATGGGCATTTATTAAGTACCTACTGTGTGCTAACCACTTTACACACATTATATAGAAGAGACACGACTTTCTCTTCTATTCTCTCTACTGGAGTTTCCTCCTCCCCCTCCTCTTCCTCTTCTTTCTCCCTTCTCCTAGGGAAAAGAAAGAACACTCAACAAGCACCTACTGTATACCTAAAATTTCCACCCATGGC